GATGATGATGATGATGATGATGCTGCTGATGCTGCTGCTTCATGATGATGATGATGATGATGATGATGATGATGATGATGTTGTCCATGGTGGTGGTGGTAGTGGTGGTAGTGCCGGTAACGGTGGTGATAGTGGAGATGATGATGATGATGATGATGATGATGATGATGATGATGATGATGATGATGATGATGATGATGATGATGACGATGATGATGATGATGATGATGATGATGATGATGATGATGATGATGATGATGATGAGATGATGATGATGATGATGATGATGATGATGATGATGATGATGATGATGATGATGGTGCTACTGATGGTAGTGGTGGGGTGAGGAGGAAGGAGAGGAGGAGGTGGTGAGGAGGAGGAGGAGGGGAGGAGGGGAGGAGGAGGAGGAGGAGGAGGAGGAGGGAGGGAGGAGGAGGAGGAGGGAGGAGGAGGAGGAGGAGGAGGAGGAGGAGAGAGGAGGAGGAGGAGGAGAGGAGGAGGAGAGAGGAGTAGGAAGCGGAGCAGAAGAGGAGAGGAGAGGAGGAGGAGGAGGAGGAGGAGGAGGAGGAGGAGGAGGAGGAGGAGGTCCAGACTTACGCTGTCACAGGGGGCGACCACATTACATGCACGGAAAGGGGGGAGCGACCCCAATTCTTTGAATCTTGAAATCAAAGAGGGGGACGTGGGCAGGGGCTCTAACAGCCTCTGGCCTTGGCAGACCCTGTTGCCGCTTCGCGTCTCTCGCAGCCTGCCCCAGCAAGGCCGCCTCCCACGAAAGCCCGAAAAACTTGGACGTCCCTGGGAGCCTGGGCCGAGGACGGGGCAGGGGCAACCGACGGGCTGTCCAGAGCCCTGGACCAATCCTGGCGGAATGCTGAGCGAGGGGGGGGGGGGGCGCGTTCCTGATGACTCGGCCGTCCCCATATCTCGGAAATTTACCCTGCCAAGACAAATCCACATGCTTGCAGTGGCCCTTGCTGGGCCTCCCGTCCCAAGGGCCGTGAATTCCACCTCGGGACAGTTTCTTCTGCGAGCCCCTATCATCGGCTCCGCACAAGGTACACATTAGCAGAGTGTCGGTGAGCTTATGCTCCCGACCGTCACGAACTTCAGCCCACCACAGCCTGTGCCCCCTGAAAACCCAGGCTTCCGCGGGCTCCCCAGGGGCCTCTCCAGGGGCACCAGGCGGCCCCTCAGGAGGAGGAGTAGGAGGAGGGGGGGAGGAGGAGGAGGAGGAGGAGGAGCCCCTTCCAGCACGGGACTCGGGATGGGGAGCTCTGGGATAGTCTCGAGGGGCACTGGTGAGCCACTCTAGCCCGTCATGGTCGGCCACTTGGCCAGTACTTATCATCATCACCTGCTGGGAGGACGCAAACCCAGCAGCCTCACGGGCGAGAGAGGCCCATCCTTCGATCACCAGCAGCTGGGCGTGCGGGGCTCTCAAGGGCTCAGCACTTAACTCAGCCAGTCGATCTGCACGAGCATCTCCTTGACGCTGTTGGTGGGAGATGAGGCCCTCCTGGACCGCCTTCCGGAACTGGTGGGCATCGACCTTGACGAATCGAACTCCTTCTAGGGCCTTTGAAACCTCAGACCACCAATGGCACCTCGTCTGGTTTTCGTTGGCAGAGAAGGGGGGCCGATTTCCAACCGAAACCGTAGCCTTTCAATCCACATGCACTTCAACTCCAGCCTCCAGCATCGCGTGCAGTCCCAGCTGCCTGACAGCGAAGTCCTCGCCGTCCCTGGAGCTCTAGTCTGGGGCCTCGGCCAGTGAGACGACCCCATAGATGTCGTGGAGCAGGTTGCCGTCTTCATTGACAGCACAGGCCGACCAGCCTGCCACTCGCAGCCCTGGGTAGGTCATCTCGTAGCATGACCCGTCCGTGAAAACCGTCCAGCAGCTCTTGACTACCAAGGTCCCGTCACTGGGCCAGTTGATCGACTGCAGGTAGGTCCCGTTGGGGTCTCGATGAGGCCGGCCGAACCAGGCACTCTCGTCTGAGAAGGTGCCACGCGCGAAGAGCTCACAAGCCTCCTCCGACATCCCTCTCATGTTTTTAACAGCTTGGCGTAGATGGCGACCCAGATGATTCAATGATCGCGCCTCCACGCGTCATAACCTGGGCAACGAAGTCTCCTGTGGTACGACGTCCCTCGAGCTCCATGCCACAGTCTGCATGTCGTGCCAATATTTCTCGCGTGCAGTGCCATCCTGGTCTGCGTCCAATAGATGTTAAAGACCACTCCTTTCAACGTCGGCTTGTGGTGTCCATGCCAAGTATTTGATGGGGTCTGGTTTAGAAGCTTTTTGATCGGCCACCAACAGATATCTCCCCTTCCACGCCTGAAAATCGCTCTGCCTGTCCTGCTCATCTCTGGTCGTGAACCTCCTGACTCCTTCGCGGATCTGTCCTGCAAAGAATTGCGGCGAGCATCTCGGGATAGACCATGAGCGACCCAGATCATCAACCAGCGCCTTGCCATGGAAATCGAAACTCTAGCCTATCCTGTCGAGGCTGACCGTCAACGCTGCGATGGGGTGCTTCACCTTGAGCCAGCGATTGCGAGAGCGGAGAACCTCGAGGCCGTCCTGGGAGCTGGCCTGGATCACATCCCAAGACACCTGGCGGTTACAAATTATATTTACGAAATCCTTGGCCACTTGGACCGTGGTGACTTCGAGGGGGTCCTTCCTGGCCAAGAAGCGGTCGAGCAGGAAACGGAAACCGAGAGCACATCCTGGATGAACGGGCCCAGCTGCTGTGGCCGCCTGAACTCGTAGCTTCCTGATGGCCGTGTCCGCGAGGCCGTTGATTGACGATCCCCAGATGGCCTTTGCCAGAGGCCCCGTTCTGCAAACCCTTGAAATCGCCGCCCCCGTTCCCAGACGAGATAACTTGCTGGTCATCTTCTTGGCCTCGGAAGCCCTCTGGAGCACTGTGGGGGGCCTGCGCTGTTTCCCGTTACTGGAGTCCCCTCCGAGATCCTTGTGAGCATCCACGTGCTGGTCCAAGGTCAAGTCCCAGTCGGGGTCCTCAAGGAACACCTGCAGGGCCTTGGGGTTGGAGGTCATGAACCTGGTCTTGCCCCAGTTGATGGGGAGGTGAACCTGGGCCATGTACCGGGCAACCTTCCTGTGAGCCTGGATGGAGTGCCTGACCGAGGTGGGGTGCCCGCCTACCACGTGCGAGGTGAGGTCATCTATGAGGTTGATGCTGCGGCAGGGAGGGATGGAGGTGGCCATGTCCCTGAGCAGCGCCAGCATCATCAACTTGGAGATCCCCGTCGCACAGCTGCGTCCCGCCACGATGGTGCCGCTGGCCTCCGTGGGGCCACTGAGGGAGGCCCCCCACCGAGCATGCCCAGGGCACTCGTGGAGCACCCGTTAACGCACGGAGAAGGCCCATGTCGAACGAGTAGGGTGCAGCTGTTATGCGTAGTTGCTCGTGTGCAACTACCTCGTAGAACTTGGTGATGCCGTAGAACGTACTTTACCGAAGTTGAGCCTCTTGCCCTGGCACAGCACAGAGGCAGGCTGTGCACGCAGCTGGCTCGGCGTGCTGCTGTCGCCGTGCCCTGCCCCCAGGACCGTGAAGCATCGACACCCTGCTCCCACTGTCGGGCCGTGCGCTGGCGGATCCTGCTCCACAGGGCGTGCCAGCGTGCACCTCAGGCCGATCGGGCGCGTGCCGCCCGTCGGTCTCGGCAGGGAAGCATGGGTGATCGTCGGCAGGGGCGAAGCCTCTGCCTGCTGCTCCCGGCTGCTGAGGATGTCGGCCGCTCGCTGAAGGATCTCCCTGGGCATCTTCCCGAAGGGCCGAGGATGTAGGGAGTCCCGGCCCAGCGCCGTCTTGCTGGGGAAGGACGGCAGCACTCCCAGGAAGTCCTCCGCCAAAACGGGGTTCAGCTTCCACTCGGCCTTCCAGGTCGCTGGGTGTGGGTCGTTCTGCCTGGACTCTGCCACTCGCAGCAGGTTCCAATCGTCCAGGATCTGCTCCGCTGCTGGAAGTGCTGGCGTGTCTTCTCGTAGCCGAGGCTCGATGACTGCGTGGGCGATCTTGCAGTTGCCGGCGAGCGCCTTCGTGCAGAAGGACTTCCAGTCCTGGTACTTGGCCGCCGCATCCTTCCTCGATCTTGCCGCTATCTCGCCCTCGATCAGCTCGAGCAGCTGGTGGTAGTGCGCGGGGCTGCTTCTGCCCATCTCCAGCTACTTGGTCGCGTCCTTGGTCTCCAGCACCTCCGTGGACGTGATGGGATCGGGTAGCTCCTGCAGCTTCGCTTCCAGCCCTCGGCGATGCTGCTCCCTGAACTGCTTCTTGGGCCGCCAAGCCACCGCCGCCAGGCCGGTGGGATCGGCGGTCTGCTGGCCTGGTGCCCAGCCGCAGAGCCCCCCCCCCAACATCCTGGCAAACGATCTCCAGGCCATCGTGTCGCACGTGTCGGTGTAGGTCGTGAGCTCCTGGACCTTGTCGAGCATGGCTGCTCTGCGCCTCTTGAGGCCCTTCGCCCTGCCGCAGGAGTCCCCTTCCTTGTCGCTCGGGATGTCGAAGATCGTGCAGGCTTGCCTCTCCGCCGCCTGGTGCCGCTGCTTGATCTTGTCGTCGAAGCTGGCCTCCTCGCTCTCATCTTCTGTCTTCCAGGGACAGCGCGCCGCCGAGAAGTCGCGATGGGGGTGCGTCATCATCTGCCTTGGGGATCTTTTGGGGGAAAGCCTCCGGCCTCAACTGCTCCCGCACGTAGGGCCTGTGCCACGGGCCTTCAAACTCCACCGTCACAGGTGTGTGCGGGTCGAGCGGGGCATCGTCCAGGGCCTTCATTTCATGCTTGAAGGTAGCGAGCACCTTGGAGCACGTGAAGAAGTCGTACTGACATGACGGGGCCCCAAGTCGCGATGGCCACCGCCTCCGTGTCCTCCAAGAAGCTGCTCTCCAGCTCTTCTGGCGAGACGTTCCAGCCCCCCCCTGGGATGAACGGGTAGGGAGCGTCTTCCACGTGGTGACCATGTATCTGAGGAGCGCCTCGTTGTCGTCCACGATGCCCATGCTGTGCGTCATGTAGACCGAGCCTATTACCACCACCGAGCCTGGGCCTAGATTCAGCTGCCTGAGGATGAGCCGATGCTGCCACTGGGCTTGGATGTTCACTGCCTGCTTAGCTCCGATCGCCTGGGGGGCCATGATCGCAACTCCTCCCGGTGCAGCTTGGATGTGACTGGACCGCCTGAGCGGCAGCCCTACGGCCAGCGAGTAGGCCCCACTCCGACACCACTGATGAGCTGACTGGACGAGGTGGTCATGCATGAACCTCGTCTCCTGCACCAGCACCACGTGGGGAAGGGTTGTCTTGCCTTCCCACTATCGGGGCACATCCTGCGTAGAGCTCCAAGTATCGCCATTGATCGTGCCAATGCTGAAGGGAGCGTTTGGGTCCAAGGGCACTGCAGGCAGGAGCTCGTCGAGGCAGATAGCTTTCGAAGCGTCCAACGTGGCGGGGCCAAGAGCCTGCGTCCTTCGTAGTAGCGGGTGCACGGCCACCGCTCGAGGAGCACGGTGCCTGCGTTCCTGACCTGGCCCATGTCCATCATCATCTTCAGCTGCCGTCTCGATCGTCTCCTGCACAAGAGCTGTCTCGGTCCGGTCACAGGCCTCCTGCTCCTGCTTCACCTCCTGGTTGCCGCCGTTGGCCGCGGCTGCCGCTGGATCGCTGCCGGCTTGGATTGGCCGCGGCACGCTCCTCTGCTGGCTGAAATTGTCGCTCACGGTGTGCGTTTCCTGGTACTTCGCGTCGAACCGCGCGTCGTCGAACGTGAGGTCCGGCCTTAGCTTTGGGATGGCGAACCCCACCTCCCCGAGCCCCCAGTCCTCATCCGTCTGGTTGCACTTCCAGAATTGCTTGCACGGGTCCACCCAGTCCGCTGCCTGGGTGTAGCTGCGCAGCCTGAGCTCCGCGTACTGGGGGAAGACGCAGCCGCCGTAGGTCACCTACCGTGTAGAAGGTCTGCGTCTCGTACTCGATGAAGATCTGGTCCCAGCTCTCGATCTTGCGCGCCTTCCGAGGGAATGCACATCCTAGGCCGCGCTCGCTGTCGTGGAAGCAGCCGCCGCTCTCTGCGATCCACTCCTGGTACCTGGCAATGTAGAGGCCGAAACCGAAGCCCTGAATGCCGTGGAAGCAGAGCTGGCCCCAGAGCCTGCTCTAGTGCGCTCTCCAAGGGAATGCGCGTCCCTGGCCGCGAGCGCTGCGCAACTCATGTCGCCCGAGCTTGCCGTAGTCGACCATCGCGTCGTGGCCGATGAAGTCCGTGGGCCCGTACCCTCTTCGAGTCCCTTGGCCTAGGGGGGGCCGTCCTCTGGCTCTGGGGGTCCGCCAGGGACACATCCTCCATCCAGGTCGTCCCAGGCTTGATCGTCGTCGTTTGGGCCTGGGAGACGCCTGTCAGGAAGGGGCTCGGCGGCCAAGAAGCCTCCTGAGCCTGCGCCGAAGGGCTCGCAGCTCGCTCCAGTGGAAGTCGACGAGGTCGCGATAAGCTCGATGCGAACGAGCTTTCTTGATCAGGTTAAAGAAGAGCGCACGATGTGGCTGTCCTCGATCCCACGACTGCGAGCACCAAAGTTCCGCAATCTGGCGCAGAGTGCGACCGGGGTGGCGGCCTAGGATATGGCGCCGAAACTGCTCCGCCTGCGGCCTGTTGAGCGACGCCTCGAAGTGGGGCACGCACTACTCGTACCAATGCTCCCTGCTGATGTAGCCTTCGCTTCTGATGTCGTGGATCCACCTCGCCGCCGCTGAGGTCATCTCGTGCATCAGGTCCTGCCTCATGCCTCTGAAGTCGGGCAAAACTCCCATCTTCCCATCAATGTTGATCCATTGACCCAGCACAGCCCGTCCTTCCAGGTGGCGTACTTCAGAGCGTCCTCGTATATCACCTTGGCGTAGTTGTCAATGCTGTAGTCCCAGCCGAAGACCCCGCTGCAGCCATCTCCTCCGTCGCAGTCTCCTGGGACGGGTTGAGAGCCTCTGAAGATGTCTGCCTCGTGGGACCCATGGTCTGCGATCTCCTCGACTTCGCACTGCCCCCAGGCAGTGCCGCTGTCATCGAACATCGCCGCCGATGCCGAAGATGCCGCCGCAGTCGCACTCAACGGAGTAGCTCTCGAAAAGTGGCGGGGTACCTGGCCTCGACCTGCTGGGCTAAAGGCCTGGCGCGCCCGTGCCCGGCCCCTTTCCTGCTCCTTTGACGGCAGCCTCGAGGCGGGCACGGGCTGCCGCCATGACGTCGCCGTCGGCTGCTGTTTCCTCGTCCTTGGTGAGGTCCTCCACCTTGCTCTCGCCGCCTGCTGCTGGGGCTGCTGCAGCTGGCTGCGGTGCCGCTGGCGCTGCCGCCTGCGAGCCTGCTGCCGCTGCTGCCTGGCCTCCTCCTTCAGCAGGGGGAGCTCCGCCGTCCGACGTCTTCCGCTTCTTGCCGAGGCGTTCCTTGAGGGCCTGGTGCTCCCTCTC